GTGAAACTAGTTCATGTTGTAATTGATTCATGAGTAATATGAAATCGTTTCATGGTGAACCACGTTTCAGTGATGGTGTAGTTGATCCGTTTAGTAGAAAAAATGAAACATGAAACGAGTGCATAATTTATTTGGTTCGTTATGAAATAATTGCATGATGAATCTACTTCGGGATCTTGAAGATTGTAATCTGCTCCAGAATCTTGAAGATTGTAAGGATTAAAAGAAAGAATGCATCAAATCATGAGTGAAATAAAAAAAATTAATTTACATGAAACAGGTTTCATGAAGGTGAAACTAGTTCATGACGTAATTGAACAATGAGTGGTGAACTGCTTTCATGGTGAAACTTGTTTCAGTGATGGTGTATATGATTCATTCAGTAGATGAAATGAAAAATGAAACGGGTACATAATGTAGACGGTTCGTCATGAAAATAATTGCAAGATGAAAAATAAATTAGTTTCATTAATAATAATAAATGTTAACGTAAAAATAATAAATTACTTTACAAAAAATAGATTAGTTTCCTTGAATAAATGAATATTTGGTTTTACCTTTTTGCCCTTATCAGTATTATAAAATGTATTTTCAATTTTTTTTATTTTTTATTTCCTTTAATAACCTTGATTAATCAATCAATTTAAAATTTTAAAATATCACTTTTAATCACTTTACATTTTTCATTTAGTTATCGGTTAGTTTCCAAACAACATAGCATAGCCTAAGTTTAGGGTGGATAAAAGACAAGAAGAAAACAAAAAAGGGTAAAAAGAATGGGATATTTTCAATGGCGTTAAACACAGACCACTTTCATAGCAAAATGCAGACCACAATGACCCTTATCATACTTGATTGAAAGTTTAATAAGTGTAAAACCAAAATTGTAGTTTACTCTTAATAAAACTAGTAACTTTATGACCCTTCACATTCCAACCAAAATAACATTTCCCATCCCCATTCCCTAAAATGAAGCAACCTCCCGCTCAACGATTACCATTAAGCCGAATAAAGTTGTACATTCTTTTGCATATAGAAGCCCGACTAGTTCATATCCAAGAACGTTTATGACGTAGAAAATACTATATTCTCTTACAAAATCAAAAATGCAAATTGGAGATAGAGATGAAAAAACCAGGGTAGATCCTTGGAGCATGCTTCATCTCTTATTCAAGTTGTAACTGAAAGCTTATGAGCCAAGGTGCATATGACTGCTTCGAAATCACAGGCTGGAAGCAAAGGTTCCTCCATAGCTGTGGTTATTCAACAAGGTTTCAATGTGGTTGATTTCTTTTGGTAATGATCCTGTAAGAACCTGTTCAACCAAAACACACCCATCTTCATTAATGAATTACAATGTGCTAAAAATAGAAACTTTGCTAAAATGTTTTATATACCTCGTAACCTGATTCCGTAATTAGGACTTCGTCCTCGATCCTGATCCCAATGCCTTGGTATCTGCATCAAACTTGTTTTTCAATCTAACATCCATTTTATCTAATTGACAAGAGAAACTTGTGACAGATTTTGAGGCATTCTTGTGTTAGGATGAGACCTTAAATCTGTCAGGTCATGCATTTTTAAACAATCTGTCAGAAGGTTATTCTCGTAAATAACCCTTGAATCAAGTTAGAAACCAGACGTGTATGACCAAAACGCCATAAAGTACTTCCTACCTAGTATCAAAAACAACTTTCACTTTTTCCGTTTGTTTGTTTCATGAGTAAATAATTTGAAGGAAAAAAAATACAAGTTGTATCTATGCATGCCAAGTGCCCTTTTTTATGTCAATAAGATCAGTGGTCTTCTCTAGAGAATTTTTCACTTATTTTGTTCACAAGTTGATGTTGTCAGCAGATGATTTTGGATGCAAGAACCAATAGCAAGCCTCAATGATGATGACTCCATTCATGAAGATGGAGACATAGCTTGTGTTAATTTCAGTTTCTAGTCTACATTGGGCTTCAGAATAGCTTAAGTAGTTGCCTCCTTGTAGATTTAGATAAAGTTACATAACGATATACCATTTGAATTGAACAGGAAAACTTTCGCTACAAAATCAGTGTACTTGCCTCTCCGCACAGTTGAAATTGGTTGGGATATAAACTCCTGGTTCAATTGTTATCACCTGCTCATAAAGGTAATACAAGTTTGGTCAAACAAGCAAATAATGTAGCAGCTAGCAGAATCAAGAAACAATCAGAATTACGAGATCAGGTTCCAGTCTATCCCAAAAACACTCCATCACAAGATAGATACATGAAGGTCTTTGTCATTACTAGGGCTGTAAACGAACTGAATGTTCAGCTAACCCTTTGTGAAATGTTTGGCGGGAAGTTAGTTTGTTGAATAAATGAATGGACCCGAGCAAGATTTTTGAATGAAAACAAACAATGATGTTCACTTTGGGTGCATTGGGTACACCCACTACAAAAACTTGTTGTCCTACGTTTGACATGACATTAGACTGGGACACGACCTGATAGGTGGAACAAAAATAAAGAAGATTTGTCAATTACTAAACTACCATGTCAAATTAAAACCCTAAAGCCTTCCATAATTCTTTCGTCCACCTAATCTCACACCCACCATGAATTGTGCTTATCACGGGAATCGATCCCGTGCATCTCGGTGCACCGCATTAGTGTTGATCTTCAATTAAGATTGATTCAAAGGTGGAGATCCCTTCTCACCATAATGTCCAATCTCACCGGAACCCAACCTTATGTGGATGCACATTAGGATGAGATGCATCGAGATGCACCTGTATCAAGCGCCATTCATGGGTGGGTTTGAGATTAAAGATGATCAAGGCTCCAGGTCCCTTCTTACGCTTCTCACCTTAACTCTCATTCTCACACAATTCTTCACCGATATACATATATTTAAACTCATGCATGTATGTGTATGTATATGAAAGCATATATGTATTCGTATATGTGTACATGTGGGTGAATAATGAAAAAGGTAGAATACATGAACGGGTGTGCCAATTCATATGAGAAGCCCTTCCCTCTTAATATTCATTTAGAATAATAGCAAAGTGAAGTTAAGCGATCAGAAAACAAAGACAAAAAGGTTTTATACGAGGTCCAGTAACATTTTGCATACAATCTTGATTAAATGACTTCTATTTGCAAACTAGTGAGAAAGTGGAAATGGATATGAGAAAAGAGGTGGTTTGCTTCGTCTTTAGGTCATGGGAGCACTCAAAATCCATCAGCATGTGCTTAATGATACTTTGCATCAAACAAGACTTGGCTAAAAGTGGTTCAAAATTTAGCAATATCCATAACAAGTGAAGAAAAATGTTAGACCTTAAACTATATAGTTCTTAAATAAAATACCCGGTGTTCAAATACCATCTCCTATGAACTTCACTTCTCCATTTTTGTCGTATATAAAAGCTATTAATGACAGAAAAGGGATAGAGAAATGGGAAGGGAAAGAGATGAGATGAGTTAAAAGGGAGTGAGACAAAGATTCACAAAGTTAGGAAACAAAATTATCTATCTTCAATTGCTAGAGAAGAAAATGAAATATACATATATCTCGTAATTAGTTAATATAACACATTTAGCAAGCTTATTGCACTTCTGAAAATTTATGCATAGGTAGATCAAACATTTTATACTAGTATACAGAACATACTGTACTCAGTATAAACCAATCATGAGGTAACTTATATCTCTTTCATATGGGATTCCCCCATTACAACAATAAGGTTTAGTGTTTCCTGATATAAAACATCCACAGATCAGGGGAACAAATATGGAAGTAAAAAAGAGAGGAAACAAGCAATAACCATAACAATTGTTTGCCACTACAGGAAATAGGTACAACTTTATTAGTTAAAAGTAGAGCATTTAAATACCTAAAAGGTAAAAAGTATAAAAAATTGTACAATCTGAGTGTGCATAAATAATCTCGTAAAGCAGATACGAAGATTTGACATCGTATAGGTTAAAAAAATCAGCAGATTAGGAAAGAACTTACAACACCTGGCTTTAAGGTGCGATCATAGCCGATCTTGGAACAATCATGCACGTCCATTCCCAGATAATGACCTGTATAATACAAAAGATAGAACATACATGGTGCGGAAAAAGAAATGAATATCGTTCCTTATACCGTACCAATTTCTTTTTTGAAGTATATAATATTTATATACAGCAAAAGTCACACACTCGTCACCTTTAGTGAAGCTTGAACCCTTGACCTCCGAGAAGGTTGGGATTTACCGGTAACCGGGTGCTGCTAGCACATTGACCCTTTAGCTACTGGACCAATTTTCTAGTAACCTAGAATCATTAAAGCTTTAAGCGGCCTATTAGTGTGAGCCAGCATAAGGTTTATTTTTCAAATGAAAATAGAATTAAAGGAATGACCTATGCTAGTTGGATTCAGCTGGTGATAGCTATGAAGCCGGTTGTCTTTCAAAATTCCAATCTCCTTCAAACCCCTAAAGAGTTTGTTAACCTACACAACATGAGATAATAATAAATCAAAAAAGTATTTTCTAGCCAACAGATAGTCTTCGATGGAACAAGCCAATAAGATTTAAAATGATAGGGGCAGGGATGGATAGATCCATGCTTCCACAATAACTATTTGACACAAATGTTTGGAGCCATCTATTTAGGCACATGCATCATGTCTGATAAATTTAACCAGAAATGGATAAGAAATCAATGAAGAGCTGAGGAGCTTCTTCCCATTTAGTGAATGTTACACTTGTTGCAATCTCTTAAGATACAGTTAAGAACAAAAACCAAAAGAACATGAAAAGTTATTAGCATGCAAGGCAAAAGAATGACGGGAAATATACAAAAAGAAAAAAGTCAAACAAAATTTGGATGTTTTTGCCACACTTGGGTTATCAATAGCAAAGTCCAACAGTATTTTTATCTTCTTCTCATAGATAGATGAAAAAAAAAACAATAGTTGTGATCAACGAATATCAACTGTTAGATGTGGCTTTAATTGAATTAGTTAGTTTTATTGTTTTGTTTAGCATATCTTGACCGTTTCCTATAAATAGTTGGATATCCTCATTTAATAAAGTCTATTCTCAATTCGTAATAAAAATTCCAGCAATTCTCTCTACATAGCCTTCTCTAAATTCTCAACAAATTGGTATCAGAGCGTGGTGATCAAAGACACGCTTCTGTTGGTTCTGGACCCTATTTTTCGGTTCTTGATTCTGCAATTAATCAAGACTGCTTTTGCGATTGATCAAGTCGACCTGTGTTTTGAAATTGCTTCTTCCGATTGCAATCTTGGCAATCAATTACGTCAATCTTGAAGTCCAATTCAAGGCAACGGGATTCAAGGTGGAGCGACGACTGAAATTGACGATCGATTAGGAAGCGTATCAGAAATTGGCGATCGACTGGAGGCTCGAAATTGAAATTGGCGATCAATTGGAGTCCGACATCTTGAAATTGATGATCAATTTGGTTTCTGGAATTGAAATTGACGATCGATTGGGAAGCATATCAGAAATTGGTGATCAATTGGAGGCCCGAAGTCAAAATTGACAATCGTTTGGAATCTCGCAATTGAAATTGGTGATCGATTGGTGACAAGCGACCGTGACTGAGTGATCAATTGGCGACTAATGTTTCGATTCAGTTCAATCAAGATTTTGGAAATGCGTCCACAAATGATCAAGATTGACAAGTTTACAAGAAAGAACAACTTCAACCTATGGAGAATAAAGATGAGAGCTCTCCTAAAACAACAAGGCATTTGGATTCCCTTGGCTGGTGAAAGGCCTGAAGGGATCACTGAATTTGAATTTGAATTTGCACAACAAGATGAGAAGGCTCACTCTACCATCTTGTTGTCTTTGGCATGAAGTGATTTATGAAGTTGCCAATGAGGAGACTGTTGCGTCTTTATGACAGAAACTAGAGAGCCTCTACATGACCAAGTCTTTAAAGAACAAGTTGTTGTTAAAACAAAGGTTATTCTCATTACGAATGAAGGAGGGAATGCCTTTGAAGGAATATCTTGACGAGTTAAACTCCATTCTTATGGATTTGAAGAATGTTGAAGTCAAGATTGAAGATGAGGATGCCACCCTCATCTTATTTGTTTCATTGTGCACTTCATATGAAAATTTTGTCAACTCGTTCGTTGCTGGTAGAGACACAATTACAATGGAAGAAGTTCTTTCAAGTCTGCACTCACGAGAGTTGCGCCATAAAGCTTCAGGAAGTAGTTATGAAATTCAATCGGTTGGCTTGCCAGTGGTAAACGAAGATAGAGACAGAGGTAGAGAAAAAGGCCGAGAGAAAGGAAAAGGGAAGTGGAAAATTAGAGGCCGATAAATGGAAACCCAAGGGATAGCTGCCACTATTGTAAAGAACCGGGTCATTGGAAAAATGAGTATCCAAAACTAAAGTCAAAAGGATCCGCTGCTGTAGCAAAAGATGATTCGGGTTCGGAGGTTGATTTGGTGCTCTCGGTGGTTGATTGCAAAAGTTAGTCAGATGTATGGATTCTTGATTCCGCGTGTTCATTTCACATGACACCACATAAAGATTGGTTTAAAACTTATGATAAGATTGCAACCGGAAATGTCTTGATGGGAAATGACATGTCGTGCAATGTTGTTGGAATTGGATCGGTGAGCATTAAACTGCATGATGGGACTATGAGAACTCTAATAGATGTTTGTCATGTACCCGGGTTGAAGAAAAACTTAATCTCTTTGGGAGTGTTCGACTCAAAAGGCTTCAAGTACACCGGTGAGGGTGGAGCAATTCGGGTCACTTAGGGTGCATTAGTAGTGATGAAAGAAGTCAAGAGAGGTACCTTGTATGTGCTGGAAGGTAGCACGGTTGTAGAGAATGAGTCAGAAATGACACGTTTGTGGCATATGAGGCTAGGGCATGTTAGTGAGAAAGGCATGGTAATTCTCAGCAAGAAAGGACTTCGTGGAGGTCATAGAGTTGTTGAATTGGGCTTTTGTGAGCATTGCATCTTTGGAAAACAAAGGAGAGTGAGTTTCTCAAAAGCTGTCCATACAACCAAGTTGACTTTAGATTACCTACATGCTAATTGTTGGGGTCCCTTGCAAGTTCCTTCGCTTGGTGGTGGTCGTTACTTCTTCTCAACTATTGACGACTACTCTAGGATGACTTGGGTATTCGTTATGAAGCATAAGAGTGAGTCATTTGAGAAATTTAAAGATTGGAAAGTTCTCATTGAAAATCAAGTTGGGAAGAAGATAAAACGGCTGCGAACGGACAACGGATTGGAGTTATGTTCAGGTGAGTTTGATCGGTTTTGTAAAGATGTAGGAATTGCAAGGTATCGAACGGTTAGGCACACTCCACAGCAGAATGGAGTAGCCGAAAGAATGAATAAAACGCTGCTGGAAAGAGTGAGATGTGTGCTGTCAAATGCTGGGTTGAATAGAAGTTTTTGGGAAGAAGCGTTAAACACGGTTTGCTACTTGGTGAATAGATCCCTGGCAACAGCAATTGATTGTAAAACTCCTATTGAGGTGTGGTCAGGTAAGCCGGTTGATTACACGGGCTCAAGAATATTTAGTTGTCCTTCATACTACCATGTTAGTGAAGCAAAATTGGAACCAAGATAAAAAAAGGGGCTGTTTATGGGACACGGAATTGTAGTAAAGGGCTACAGAATTTGGTCTCTTGATAAAAGAAAGGTGATTCTCAGCCACGATGTAGTGTTTGATGAGGAGAGTATGTTACGTGGCGTGAGGTGTTCATCTACTCCAAGTGTTCAAGAGAAGAGTGTGTCCGAACAGGTGGAGTACAAGTTAAATGGTCCCGATGAAGACGAGAATACTGCGGGACAGCGTAGCAACTTGCCTCAACCAGAACCTGTTGTACCTGAAAATCAGCACCAATATGCAGAATTTCGATCCATAGCATTAGATAAGCCCCGAAGACAAGTTGGTAGGCCAATTCGATATGGTTTTGATGACATGGTGGCCTATGCTTGGCAAGTTGCTGAAGAAATGGAGTTCTTTGAGCCATCTACTTACAAAGAAGCAATCACAACGAAGGAGGCTGACGTGTGGATAACAGCCATGAGTAAAGAGATGGAATCCCTTCACAACAATAGAGCTTGGGAGTTAGTAAAGTTACCTCAAGGCAGAAAAAGTTGTGACCTGTAAGTGGATCTTTAAACGAAAAACAGGGCTACCAGGAGCTGAAAGTGTGAAATACAAGGCATGTTTGGTGGCTAGAGGTCATACATCCATTCGGGTGTTGTTGGCACTAGTAGCACAAGCAAATTTGGAGTTGGAACAATTGGACATCAAAATAGCTTTCTTACATGGTGAGCTTGAAGAGGAAATCTATATGAGTCAACCGGAGGGTTTTGTAGCTCAAGGTAAAGAAAACTATGTTTGTAAGCACAAGAAATCGCTTTATGGTTTAAAGCAATCTCCAAGACACTGGTATAAACGTTGTGACAGCTTTATGGTGAGTCATGGATTTATTAGAAGCCCTTATGATTGTTGTATATATCATACGAAAAGTGTTGATGGGTCACATGTGTATCTGCTACTTTATGTGGACGATATGTTAGTAGCGGCTCATGATATGGCTGAAATTAAGAAGTTAAAGGGACTCCTTAATTCTAAGTTTGACATGAAAGATTTGGGGGGTGCTCGAAAGATTCTGGGTATAGAGATTATCCGAGATAGATCTAGACGTAAACTTTTCTTGTCACAGAAAAGTTACATTTTGAAGATACTTTCTCAATTTGGTATGGCTTATGCAAAGCCTGTGAGCACACCTTCATCAGCAATATTCAGATTATCAGTGGCTTTGGCACCTCAAACCGAGGCTGAGGTGGAGTATATGAGATAAGTTCCTTATTCTAATGTTGTAGGAAGTCTTATGTATGTCATGGTCTGCACTAGACATGACATAGCTCCTATGCTGTTAATATCGCGATATATCGCTGATATATCGGCTATATATCGGATATTGGACTCTGGAAAAATATCGGTGGTGAAATATCGGTCAAAATATCGGTTCCGATAATATCGCCGATATTTACTCGATATTTTGATGGAAAAATCGGTCCGATATACCGATTTCTATAAGACAAATGTTTGGGCTCTTTTTATTACATGTCAGGCTTATTTTTTTGGGCCTCTTTTTTTTGGTCAACCAATCAACACATATATTAAGTCTCACGCTTCTTCTCTTCTTGGTTTTTCACAGTTCATGCTTCTTCTCTTCTCGGTTCTTTCACAGTTCACGCTTATTGTTTGCGATTAGCTTATTTTTTAACACTTTTCCTATTTTGTTTTGTGAGACTTGTTTATGTGATGTTTTAGTTTTGAAATTATATTTCTAAACTCTAATTAATGCATATGATATGTTTATGGATGCATACATAATATATATATATATATATATATGTATATATATAATTCTAAAAAATATTACATTAACCGCTATTTTGGACCGATATATCATCGATATAACCGAAATATCGAATATCGGTCCTGACCGATATTTTGTATTTTGACCGCAGTAATAGCATAGCATAGCTCATGTTGTTAGTGTTGTTTCACGTTACATGGCTAATCCGGGGAAAGAACATTGGGTTGCCGTGAAACGTATTTTTCGTTATCTCAAAGGCACAGCTGATGTTGGTCTCAATTATGGAGGAGAAACAGATTGTATTGTGGTTGGATTTTCAGATTCTGATTACGCAGTTGACCTTGACACACAGAAGTCATTAACGGGATATGTATTCACTGTTGGAGATGCCTTTAGTGAGCTGGAAAGCGACGTTACAGCCGTCTGTTGCTTTGTCTACAACAGAGGTTGAATATATGGCTCTTATAGAGGCTGCAAAAGAAGGGATTTGGCTGAAAGGTTTGCTTGGAGATCTTGTGTTTCATCAAGATCAGAGTGTAGTTTTTTGTGACAGCCTAGTGACCTTGTCTTGCAAAAGACCAGGTGCATCATGAGAGAACGAAACACATAGATGTTCGTTATCACTTTATACGTTCGGAAAGGAGAATTGAAGTGAAGACTGATGACAATCCAGCTGATGCACTGACGAAACTAGTTTCTTTGAATAAGTTTAGGCATTGTTTAGATCTCCTAAACATTGATAGCTGGAAGTAAAAAATTTGTACTAGAATTAAAGCGAAGGTGGAGATATGTTAGATGTGGCTTATTAGTTAGTTTTATTTCTGTTTAGCATATCTTGACCGTTTCCTATTAATAGTTGGATATCCTCAATTTGTAAAGTCTAGTCTCAATCCGTAATAAAATTCAAGCAATTCTCTCTACATAGCCTTCTCTAAATTCTCAACATCAACATTTCATTGATCAGTGAACACCAAGAAAGAAAAGAAACCAAAAACAGAAATGCAAACTAAATAGTTCATACCGAGTAGTTGTGTACATGTTGGATGCTCGCACCAGGTTTGCAAAGTTCAATACATTCTTTGTTTGTCTCTACAACCAGATCATAGAGTTCTTTCTGAAATAAAAGCATGATGCTATTAGCAAGAACATATAGCTGACAAGAACAGAATTGTTTGATCTTTCATCAGCCTCCAAGTCATATATAGAGCATTAATTGGACAACTTAAACAAGCACCTACCAATTCTTCATAGATTATGTGAGCTCAAAACAAGGAACATCAACAAAAAAAAAACCCGATATACCAATTAACATATACTTAACTTGCAACTCTATACTATAAGTAAACCCTGTTACATGGTATATGTGGTTAGGCTCCAAAATTGCAACCCCAAGTCAATTATCACAAACAGCCATTTCACAGCCTCCTAAGGTCAGGCCAAGATTGTCCATGTGACAAGTGAGTCTACATAGTTAAAATACTTGTGCGATGTCGTGGCCTCTTGTTCTACACAGACATGACCTGACTGGACAGGACGGGCGACGAGGCAAAAAGGTTTGTGTTTTTAACATGGGTAGTTTAGTAATTTACTAATCTTTTCCCATCTCCCTAATTTTTGTTCCACCAATTTTGGTGGGACAAGAAGAAGTCATTTTTGTCCCCCTCAATCCTGTCCTGTCGCAGTCTTCCTGTCGTACCGAACATGGGACAAGATTGGAGTAGACAGGGCCGGACAGAATGGACGGGACTAGACAAGTTGTCTAGTGTTTGGTGAGGTTAGAACCGGAGAGGACAGAACCGTAAAAATGGCCCCTAAAATAGTTGTTTGATGATTTTATATCTCATATAATAGTTATAACTGACAAAAATAAAGTAAATATTTAAATAATATATAATTTATTAACATTTTTATACAAATTTCATATACATAAATACATACATATATAATAGCACCAAATTTGAATAAAGAATTTGATATAAATTGATGGTAGTGCGAAAAAGCCCATTTCGTACAAATGAAGCATGTTTTATTCATTATAGTGGAGGTGGAAGTGGTCGACGTTGATCAATGGTGGCCTCAGGTGATGGTGGCGGCGGCAATTGGGCGGTGGTACTATTAAAACAAATACCATATTAGGGTTACATCAAATGAGAATAAATCCCATCATGGTGGTGGAGGTGGCATGGTGATGGGCTGACGGCAATGGGTGGTGGTGGCTGGTGGCAAATGGTGGTTATGGTAGAGGGCATGAAGATTGTGAACAGTGGTGGAGGTGGAGAGGGGGGGGGGTAGCTTGTGGTTATGGAGGTGGTCGACGATGGTTAGCGGGTGGCCGCTGCCCGGGGCGGTGACCGAGGCGATGCGTGGTGGTGCCTATTAAACCAAATACATGTGTGAGTTAATATCCGAGGTAGATTGGTAATTTTTTAGTCGTGTCACATATTTGTCCCATCTTGTTCCACCTATTTTGGTGGAACAAAAGAAGCTTCATTTGTCCCAGCCTATCTCAGTCCTTGTCCCTATCCCATGTCGCACCAAACATGAAAAAGTGAGTTTATGTCCTGTCTGTTAGGACAACCGTTACACACACAATACGCACAACCCAAAAAACAAGAGAAGAACAAAAGAATTTATGTGGTTCACACGATCAGATTGATCGTGCTAGTCCACGGGGGCAACTAGGTTTTTCTTTATTTAGGTGCTACAAAATGTTTACAAGTACAATGAGATTAATATATATAGACAAACATAATTAGGGTTATCTCCTAATCAAGGAAACTAGGGTAGAGACTAGGGCCGGCTCCTTACTTTATGCCTCCTCCCTTTTGTCTAACTTAGTAGGCCGAAGCCTACATTCCAACACTGTCCGATACCGCACCAAACATGGGACAGTGAGTTTGTCCTGTTCTGCCCTGTCCCATGTGCCAAATGCAGCCTAAGGGAACAAGTTAATCAAATTAGAGTGTACATATCGAATATGCCTAAATTGTCACATACAAGATTAATATATGATCTTTGGAAGGGCTCCTAAATATATTGGCTACTCAATCTTCAAAATGTACCCAAATCCGCTTAATAGAAAGAGGTTCGCAAAAAGTATCAATCACACTCTCACATATAAGGGTATGCTAGGCTTGCTCACGAAATATCTAATTATGGGTTTGTAGATAATTGCCTTGCTCATAACGATACATCTCCATCAAACAAAACATACTCTTGTTTTAAAGGTCATACCCGCGTGAGCTCACAACTTGCTTGAGCCATAGCTCAGTACTCATAGCAAGCATTGAAATAGGAGCTTCCTTAACCAAAATATGAGATTATCTCAACAAACATCAAAAACTTTTGTGAAAGGTCCTATGCCACTCTTATCTCAATTAGGCTAACCTAATAAGGGAACAAGACCTTCCAACTAGATTGGAGATGATCCCTTCTCTCCAGTGAGTGCAGTGAAGGACTCTCGCCTCACCCGCCCGTTTGACTTATGGCATTATCGAGTTGCTTTTCACTCTAAGAGATTTCATAACCAGAAAGAAAGCCCCATCTTTCGGGATCAGTCTCGGCCTTAGATGAAGTAGGCAACCTTTCTTTCTCGCCCTTCTTCCATCTTTTTTCAAATAAAGGACGAATAAAGTTGTTAAGCAATTACTAAGTCAAAAGAGCAAGAAAGACTAGTCCTTAACTCCTTAGGCTATGGACTTGCTTCTAGGACCGGTATTAGCAGAGATGGCTGTTTGGCAGATACTGAATGATTTAGTGCAGAATGATGAAGTGGTTGGAACGATTAAGAAACTTTGCATGATTTAGTGCAAAATGAAAAAAATTGCATAAATTTACCATTTTACCCTCTCAATGATTTAGTAATTAAAAATATTTAACTATTTAATAATTTTTTAAATTAATAACCAAAATCTTATAAATAAATCACTTGTCAAATATTATAATAAATTATAACAACTTTTTTGTCAAACATAACAAAAAGATCTAGTTTTGCATAGGGTACAATAGGTAGTGGGTTATTCCAAAGTCCAAACTATCCATCTTTCCCTTCTAATCTGAGGCATTTACCAAACAGGTAAAATTGAATCTACCATCTTCAAAGGGCATTTCCCAACCAAGGTAAAATTCAATCCACCCACCTTCAACGTCGTCGTTCTCTAACTTAAATACTTTCGGGGTTTTCAAACTCTTTCGTTACAGAAATTTTCCCTTCTCCTAATCAACTATGGTGGAAATGATTTAGGTGTGATTGAGTTAACTAGAAACTTCATGATAGTCTCCATTATAGCCTTCATCGTCGTCGGCAAGCCAAGGGAGCCTGGATGCGAAGTTGTTAAAAGCTCAAGGTGCACTTAGGTGCAAAGGGATCCTGGAGACTATGCTCAAGGCACAGGCACAGGCACAGGCCTCAGGAATGCGGAGCGCATCTTATAAAATACACACACACACATAGTTATACACAATTCAAATAGCATTCTATAAAACATAGTTCAATTTCAATTTCCAAAAAGTAGTAATATCAAACATATCTCAATAGTCTTGACTAGTATAAGCCTACAATGCAGCAAGTACAAGCCTACAATGTAGCAACCAGAAGAGAGAAGGGTTTTAAACCTTGAGGAAGAAGTTTTGGGTTTAAAGCCGTGAGGGAGAAGAATAAGGGATGGAACGTATCTATAGGGAGCAAGTTTGAGGGTATGAGAACTGAATAGACTAATTTAATATTAGGACTTATCTAATAACTCTTTTTTGTAGAAGTCTAAGAGATTAGAAGACTTAGGGGTTGTTTACCAAATTTTCCATTTAAGTTTTGTATGGATAAATTTGTTAGTCTACATAAAAACTTTGTTGTTGTTTACTTTTTTACTGAATTAACCATCTCAAAAAGATAGAAATGACAGTTTTACCCTTCAGTTCATCAAATAAACTTCAACAAAAAAACACTTTGAAATCAGGAACAATCTGCACCATAAACAATCTGAACTTGAGAGATGAGGGTTACGATTAGGTTCTAGTAAAGACGAACATAGAACAGAAATGTAAAGAGGGTTTTAAAATCGAAATTTGGAATGAAATCGAAAACGAAATCTGGAACAGAGAACATATAACAGATAACAAAAATTATTAGAAACTTCAAAAGAAACCTACAAGGAAATCAAAAACGAAATCTGGAACAGACAACAATAAACAAAAATTTATCAGAAACTTCAGAGGAAATCAAAAATGAAAATGTAATCGAAATCGAAATCGAAAACGAGATCGAAAATGAAATCAAATCAAAATCAAAAACGAACGTCAGAAACTTCAAAAGAAATCTGGAACGAAATCGAAATCGAAATCGAGTTCTTCAATCTAGGAAGGAGATGCAGTGGTGATTCGAGTTCTTGAATCAAGTTCTTGAATCTCGAAAGGAGATGCAGTTCTTGAATCCCGAAAGGAGATGCAGTTCTTGAATCCCGAAAGGAGATGCAGTTCTTGAATCGAGTTCTTGAATCGAAAACGAACACAAAATCAAAAAATGAAAACAAAATTAAAGAACAAAATTGAGTTCTTGAATCTGGGAAGGATGCCGTTCTTGAATCAAAAACAAAAACGAAAATCAAAAAGCGAAATCTGAGATGGGATCAAGAAGGAGGCGTACACAATGAAGAAGGCGTGAAGGGGTAGGGTTGTCTTTTTTGGCTAAACCTGGACAAGAGCCCTTTTCCCATCTGTGTGAATAAGCCTCAAGTAAACACCACATTTTGGCTAAAGCAAATAAGCCCGTTAACCCATTAAGCTCATTAAGTCATAAATAAACACCCCCTTAATTAATATTAGGGTTTGACTTATTTAATAACTCTATTTTTTGTAGAAATTTAAGAGACAAGAAAGCTATTTAATATTAGGACTTGTTTGACTGGTTTTATAGAAATCTTTATAAGGCGCGCCTAGGTGGCGCCTCAACCAAGGCCCAGCGCCTTAGTGCGCCTAATCAATACGCCTCGCCTCGACATGCAAAAAACCCACAAGCTTGTGCCTAGGCGCACTTTTCACAACTATGCCTGGATGCTTCATTCTTGAAAACCGTATGTTTCTCCAAGGACGAGGATGAAAAAATAAATCTTCCCTATCTCGAGCTATGTATGTGTTGTGTTTTGACTGGGTTTTGTAGATGTATAATATATGTTGATGGAGACCTTGGATCTGGAGGGTAATAATGGAATGTGTTGCCCTCTTAATGATATAGCTAGACTTTAAAGAATGACTAGGGGTTGTTTGTTTACCTCTTAATAGTTCTATTAAGAGGCAACTTTTGAATCGTTAAGAGGTGAATCTTGTTTGGCAAAAAAAAAGTCTGCCTCTTAATGGTTCTAAAACCCTCTGAATGATTTTGTATCCTGGATCTCCCTTAACCATTAAGAGCCCTAATTTTGCATTGAACACAATTACCAAACAATTATATTTCATTTTGCACTATATCATGAGAGCCTCTTAATCATTCTGACCACTTAATCATTCTGCACCAAACCATTCAGCAATGCCAAACAGCCCCGAAGGCTTCAGAGGCTAATGGAAGATTCAGATGTTCTAAAAACTTTGCCAAACAACCTTTACCTCTGGCCGAATCATTGTTTTGCTTCTTACTGGAATCATTAAGAGGCAAACAAACAGCCCTTTAGTGGCTATCCTGTTTATCCATTAGAGCGAAGATTGGGTGTTTAACCGGCCTAGCCTCTCAGGCAATCCTAAAGTTTAAGCAAAGGTCCTAGCTGAGCTGTTTGTTTAGAAAGGAAAGTCGTTAGCTTTAATTCAGAAGGCTAAAACACAGGTTTTTATGAGACTCTGGTAAGAAACCCGACTTGTTAATCAAAAAAAGACCCAATTCCAGTGATATATGGACCTGTTGGACTACTTATAACTTTATATTACAGATGTTCTTTTCTGCGATTCTGAGCTCTTGCTATAGCTTTGGAATACCACCTGCATCCAGCAGTACATGCAGAATACTTGGCACCTCCTATCTTAGGTCTATCCATGGTTCTTGGTCTCAATTTATTATAATGTTAGAAGCAGGTCTGATACTTCTTTTTCGAAGTAGCAAGTCTCGATTAGATATAAATCATGGTTTTCTTGATACATTTTACCTTATATAATACATATAGCTTAAGAACACTTGCACTTCTCTTTTGTTTGAATAACCTGTTGCCCAGAGAAATATAAATAAGAAATGCAACAAAACTACTCTAGCTTCTTACGGATATTGCATAAAGGCAGAACATACATGGACATCAGAAAAGCTGCCGCAGGGCGGCCAGGTACGTGTGAGGTCACTAACGTAGCCATGCAACTCGCACCCAACATCCATTAGAACAAGGTCTCCATCTTTGACCTGTCACTCAATATCTAAGTCAACTATAAAATGAATGTTTCAGATACAAGCAACGGAACTAATTAAATCAGCTAAAAACAAGCTCACTTTCTGGTCATTTCGAGAATAATGAATCACACTACCATTAAGCCCACCACCAACTACAGGGTTGAATCTGGAAGACAATAATTAATTGTTAGATAATAAGCAACATTATATGACGGAATACGATGAAAAAAGCAGATGATTTCAGTAAAACAGGAAAAACACAAGAGCCAAAAACTATGTAATCCAAGCAAAAACAACTAGAACGGTTGCCAATATACATGTATATATTTTTCCAGGAATGGCATATGCATGTATATGGGATAGTCTAATTTATGAATCCCACAAGATAGATAGTGATTGCAAAAAACCTATATGCAAACTAAACATGTATGTCCCACTGACCAAGTTAGGAGTTAGAGACAAGACCACTTCATCATAAGCATGTGTGTGGGATAGAGCTTCCACAAGTATTATCCATCCCGTGGGATACGGGTATGCAACTTTCCCTATATATATGCACACATACACACACATATATACATTTATGAGTGTGTAAGAAATTTAGAAAGAAAAAAAAAAGCATGCCATAGAAAACTTACGCCATTCTCTGGGCACCTCTCATTCTGCACTCATATTCAACCTTGGCTGATAAGATATTCTCGTAAGGAGATATCTTGGAATGCAGCATAGTTTGTAAAAGAGCCTATCCATGACATTAATATAAGTTGTTAAGTAGTAACATAATATTGGCTCAACTGTCTCCAAGAAAGCCATGATTTACCATAAACTCAAAAGTTACAAGGAAATAAATATAATACACTAATTGTCAAGTAATTGCAGGGAAAGCATGTCACTGATGTTAGAGAACAAAATGCATATGTGTGATCTCGGCCTGGTGAAATCTAAATGTTTAGTGTAAACCCTGTATCATTGCATGGTTAAATTAAAAGATAAACGAAAATAATGTATCCGGATGTTTAGTTTAAACCTAGTATCATTGCATGGTTAACGAATCTAAAGATTAAAAAGGAAATAATATATATCTTGAAGTGACATCACGTAGCACATTGTCGCAGTACTTGTGAGATGAGAGGTAAGACACTGTATTGGGAGTGTTTTGCTGTACTTAACTCATCATTAATTGCTTTATAATCTTTATCACAAAGCCTCTGTGTTTTAAGTTCAAATGTGCTAACAATGACCTATCCTCAGCCCCCCACACCCCGAAAAAAACCTTCTCGTATTTATCATGCCTGCATGGAAGATAAGCAAGCACCTGCTGCATAAGATCTTGTTCTACCATGAGTGTAAATTGGTTGCTTTAACATAGGTGTTTCAAATTTTAGAAAAATCAGATTGAATACCTACAGAAAGAAAAAAATTTCCAAAAATGGTGCTATATTGTCCTCGATTGTATATATACATGGTTAGAAGATATTCCTCAATAAAGTTGAAAGAATCAGCTACATCACATATTGCAAATAAAAAAGCATGCACACAAAACCAAGGTGAACACTACTAGGTACTAACCTAACAAAAACTAGGATAACTAAAATACTACCCATACCGAGTTGGCAGAAAGACTAATCCTCTGCTTCTTTGTCTAGCGATTTTGTCGAACATTAAACCAATGTCAAACAACCAGGATTTCACCCCTGTATAATTGCTTTCAAGGCTTGCACAAAGCTTTATCCGTGCATAAAATTTTATCTCCTGATGGCCCTCAAATAAGAGTTATAAGCTACGGTCTCATATGCTTAATACTAGATTATTGTGATGTATTTGTGTCCTAGTCTGTAGCCTTTTTGAGTCTTTTTGTTTGGTCTTTTATGATAGATGTCAGGTGGATAGTAGGTGGTAGCGTCCGGGTTGTCTTTTTGTACTTGAGAAATACATAAGTCCAGGTGGAGCGGAGGATATAGCAATTCGAAAATAAAGCAGAAGAAGATAGGCTGCAAGCTTTTGGTAGTACAGCAGGAGGGTGTCAGCTGTTCAAGTACAACCCAAATGAAATAAAATCTAAACTATGCCTGCAAGCAGACAAAGTAAAAGATGATGACCGGTCAACTGCAAACTGCCATGATGTTGGAGAAAAAAGACAAGTGCCAAGGAGTATAAATAGAGTTGCAGCCCCAATTATGAAAGCATTAGGAAATCATCATCTTTTGTTTATCTATGCCACTTTTCCTCTATGTCATTTACTTTCTGAGAAAACATTCTATATATGTACTAATGTTTTAACTATTGAATTTTATTATGAAGCTTTCTTGTATCTATTTTTTGGTCAACCCAATTATGGGCTAAATACCATCAATAGACTGTGGATGAACTTATAAGTTATTTAAGGTTCTAAATGACGTGAGGCGCGACGTGGTGGCGAGGTCAAGCCTCTAGTTTTACATGTTAGAGCGAGGCCACGACGTTTTCAAGGCATACCATAAGGCGGCATATACACACGCACGCACACACCTGTATGCATTAGTGTTTTGAATAATACCATACATAGAACAAATTAAATTCATATAAAGTAACAAAACTAAAGAAGAAAGAAGAACAATTGACACCAAATTCATCGAGCTTATAGAAAATGATGTCAAGAGTGAAAACAGGATTTAAATCTTTTGAATCTCTACTCACCACTTTCTTCAATTTTCAAAGAATCATCTCTGACCCTTCATGTACGGGAATGAGAGTAAGGGACTGTTTACCAAACTTGTACCAAGGTAAGTGTTTACCGGGAAAATTCAACACTATCACTTACTGGTTAAGATTTTAGTCCACCAAAACATTATCGTATGCAACAATTTACCTAGTAAGCGCTAACCGTGGTAAGAGTCGTTGCCCTCACTTACCGAGTAAGACTCTCGGTCCTTGCCTTCGCTCTTACCGGATAAGATTTTTGGTCCTTGCCATATCTGGTAAGGTAATGTGACTTGGAAATCACTTGCCGGGTAAGCATTTGGTAAACTGCCCCTAAGTATTTATATATTTAGAGTTTTGGTTTTTAAGCTTCATTTTTATGTTTATTTAAGTCTTAGGTCCCGTACATAATTATCATTTATCCCTCAAGTAATATATTAAAATAACCCCACAACCTATGTTGTTAATTGCGGCGCAATAGCGCTGCGATAGCGGCGCAATATCGGATATCGGCCCTGAGCAGAATATCGGTGGTCAAATTGCGGTGAAAATAGCGGTAACACAATTATTGGCGCAATTTACCGCAATTTTGACCGAAATTTAGAATCAAATTGCATTCTCCAATAGCGTTATTTTTTGGGCTTTATTTTGAGTCTTTGTTTTGGGCAGTTGGGCTTTTTAGATCTAGGCTATGTTTTAACTTCAATCCATTAACATAACAATTAGTTTCTTCTTAATATCAACCCAAGTTGGGCTTTTTAGATCTAAACCTATTGCTTGCGGTTAGCTCGTTTATGAATACTTCTCCTATTTTGTTTTGTGAAACTTGTTTAAGTTGATGGTTTGATGTTGAAACTATATTCTTAATTAATGCAAATGATATGTTTATGTATGCATACATATATATATTATATATATAATTCTAAGAAATATTATACGAACCACTGTACCACCACTATAACTACTATTTTAAATATCAGTCCTGACCGCAATTTTGTATCTTCACCGCTATAACAGCATAGCCCACAACTTCAAAAATAACGCGCCATAACGCGTTACAATGCAAGCCAAGGCGTTAAAGTGGAGCGATAAGGCATAACATGGTGGCAAGGCCAAGCCTTGATGCCATAACGAGGCCATAACGAGTTATTTAGAACCATGACTTATTTTGTGTGAAGTGAAGGCTATAGCCTCAAACGCCTTGTGTGGCTTCTTTCAACAAGAGTTGATCATTTTTCAAATCTTCTCATTTCTAGCTGATCACCAGCAGCATGACCATGAACTCTGCCTACATGCCAAAGAAGGTTAAGGAGGAAATACTTGATGAATCCAAATTTTAACCCTATGATTTAGTAAGGGACATAAATGCACCTCGGCTTGCATGGCCTTACTTTGTGAAATCAACTTCAACTCAAATATTTAACACTAACAAGCTATTCCAACAAAGCAGAGTACTTTAGAACCGGGAAATATCAGTCATTCAATGATTGGTTGCATACAAAACAGCCACAAAACTTGATTTCTAGTCGGTGGCTCACTTGTTGCCTCTTTGAGGCTATAGCAGACCCCAAACACAATTGACAAAAAGAGATTTCATGGTACTTCCTTAATAAAACCTTATAGCCTCAGTTTAGCGTGAACTCAGTGAAACTAGTAAGACCACCTCCAAAAGCGATTATTCCTCTTCATTTCTCGAAGCTATCAAATGTCAAGACAATTGCACTCTTGTGCCTATTCTAAGTCTATGGATATGATACTCGACTTATCATTACATTACTTGGTATTAAAGGTGTATATTTGCACTAATATTTGCATCAATATTTCACATACCATCTCTCTTTTGAGAGCAAAAGATACATCAAGCAAATATATTGACGATGAATCCCGCAACTTTCCCCACAATTATAATGGTTATGATCTTGTTGTTTGAGCTGCAAGGATTCATTTTCTTCCGTCCAATACAAGAGTACAACAGATACTGTTGGGACACTAAAAACATCCGATCAAGTTCAGAATTAGGTCAGCCAGGTCTAGCAAAGTAAACAAGGACCCTAAACCTAAGAGTTTACAAGGCTAATTTATTTTACAAACCCCTTTCCAATTTATTATCATTTTAACCATATATATCAAGTATAATCAATTTACAAGTTACAAAATATCATGGATGAGAATAGATAAATAATAACAAAAAAGGGGGATGAAATCTTAATAGAAAATAAACAACACTGAAAATAGATTAAAAAATAATGGGCTAAATGCACGAAATAGCAACCTACTTTCACAAATTTCTTTATTATAGTATTGTACTTCTATTTTTCCTTATTACAGTAATACAGTTTCAAATTATTTTTTATTAAGGCATTGTACTTTGAAAAAATTTCCCTTTGTTACAATGGGTAACCTTTTGATTTGAATTAAGATGACATGCCACAGGTTTCCATGCCATGTCATTGTCCACGTGTAACATATTGTTGGCATGGCATTTTGATATGCATTGTTTTCACCAATATTATAATACTCATTTCTTCCCTTTTAGTTATCTTATTTCCTTTTATATCCCAAATATCTTATTCTCCCCTTTCCTATTTTATGGAGCTAAGGTTGTGATTAATCTTTAATAAAGCTATGGAAAGCTAATTTCACCTTATGGGCAGGCTATGTGTGTTGTGTCTATGCTGCAGCATTAGACAGATTGTTTGGGGAGGAAGGCAGAAAATGTGGAAATAAAGGGGAGGAGCTAAAGACAACCTTTGGTGAGATAAACTCACATTTTCAAAGCCCTTTACAGATCTGCAGGTTTTACTACATCTTTTGTCAATAGATGTCATGTCAACTTTTGTTAGTTTGACTTTATGTTCTGAACTTTGTGCCTAAGTTCCCTAAAGTGCTCTCTTCCCACTCTCTCTCCTATAAATAGAAATGTCGGGGCTGCAGGTTGGTATGCTTTGTATTAGTTAGTTTCATATTTCAGTAGTTCTAGTTTTGTATCTCTTCCAAGTTCTTTCAATTTAAGTATTACTTTTCGCAATTACATTCCTGAATTTAAATCTTGTCTTGCATTACTGCAGCATTCATTAATGCACTTACATTCCTATCTTTCATGTCTTTAATTTATGTCTCCTTTTAAGCAACATATCAACTCCTTACTAGAGTCACAGCTGCCATTTCCAGTTATAGCCCTACTCACCATTTCCCAAAAAATAATCACCTACTCGGCAAGAAAATCTGACACAAATGAAAAGCAACAAAAAGGCACTCGATGTTCTCTCTAAAAGCTTTTCCTTTTCTTTTTGCAATATTTCTTAGTTGGTGTTCTAACCCATACTTGAGAATTTCCTTGCCCTTCTTCAAATATTTACTTTACTGATTGACTAGGTGGGGGATTGAAATCTAATAGGTTAAACTTAACAATATTATAATTACGTGAATATAGACATAACAAAGAAATACTAACAAAAAGAATATTTTTTTAGAACATTTGATATATAATAGTTTATCATAAGCAAATACTTCAAACAGAGGGTTATGTTCATCATTTTATTCGGTCAGTATTTGATACAAAAACATCATGTAAATAATAGAGCACCACTTATCTGAGCCAGATCTCCTCTCTCAATAGGACCTCCTACCTCAGTCAGCACTTACCCAAAAAATTTGGTAAACAGCCCCTTACTCTAGAATATTTAATTTGCATACAACTTAATAAGGGTGAAATATTTTTGTAACGGTTTTCTAAAGAGGGATGAACAACATGCTTTGGGTGAAATATGAATCATTGGGAGAGAAAGTGAGGAAATTATTAAAAGAATTTGAAAGAGGCTTTTTTTATTTATGCCATGTAATCATTCATCGTCCACATCACCTCATTTAAGCCACAGAAGCAAAAAATAAGGGGTTAAGCGGTTTAACAGGTAACAGGTTACCCATTGCTATAATGGGTAGATTATTCAAAGTACAATGCTCTAATAAAAAATAATTTGAATGTAATAAGAAAAAATTATGAGTACAATGTTGAAATAAGAAAATTTATAAAAATAGGTTGCTGTTTCATGCATTTAGCGCAAAAATAATTGTGCAACTTTGAAATACCTGGCAACCTATGGCAGCAGATTCTTTCATTAGATTAATCTCGGCTGATGATTTTACCCATCGTGCTTCATGGGTATATAAGGAGAAATCATGTACTCCACCATTATAGGAAGCTTTCTGGAACGCCTCTAAGTCTGTATAAGTTGGGATAGCTGTCTTCACATTATGATATAACTTTGAACAACTTTTTATCATGTTTGGAAGAAACTGCAGTAAAACTCAAGAGAACTGAGTTAATAATGCTGAGCCATAAGGTTAATTGTGGCAAAAAAAAATCACCCAGGGTTACCAACCAATGAAGTTATAGTTCTCCATTTTGGTAAAATGGATATAAATTGCAGTAGTAAGTTTCTACAGTAAATATTGCCAGAACAATTTTAGACCAACTTCAATATGCGAGTATTACTAGTCTCTAGACTCTTATCATTAACCCAAAGCAATTGTCCAGTACCTTCACTTGGATGCACACCAATTACAGACTCCATGCAAAAGAGGCATACTCATTATTAAGATATACACCCTGGTCACTGTTCTAAAAAATGGTTATGCAGAGCTAGGCAGTTGAGTGGCCTCGTGCTTAATTAAGTGGAAGCATAAGCTGTTCAGATATTAAAATATCATGTCTGTAGATTAGAAAAACACATAAGAATTAAAATTTAGATAGTAAACTATTTTGATACGATGACCTTTCTAAATGACTTAATTACATTGTTCCATTGACACAATTACTTGACAGACTGGAAAGAGTCCCTCCACGTTGAGAAAAAATTCATCGATTCCCGCTTGATTTTTTCAAACGCTTAAATCAACGAATAGTTGAAGTGGTGGGAGACGCTTAATTTCTAGGCAGCCAATTATGAGGCCCAAGCCAATTGAAGGAGGGACACTAAATGCCTAGGCGGCACACGGTAGTTTAAAAGCGACAGGGATATCTAAAAGCATTATCCGTGTCTACTGGTCATGTAAGTGTTTCGGGTTCAAAGAAGGTTGTGCATTACTCGGCATAAAAACCTGGACACTTAGAATATGTTTACTGGCTTATGGGCCTGAAATTGTAAACAAAATAAAAACTTCACTAAACAGGAATTATTATTCTACCCCCTTACACCCCTCAAGTTGCAGAGCAGATATCAATCATTCTCAACTGGACAGTGAAACGTGTAAAAAAAAAAGTTTGAAACCATAAAATACTCAAAACAGATGATTGACAGAAAGAAAAGAAATAGGAATGAAACTAGCACGGGTCTGAAAGCATCCTCCTCCCAACTGCCTTATTCTCCTAATAAGAAACTTCGACTTCCCAACAGATTTAGAAAATCCCTCCAACAAAATCGCAAAAAGTATTTAAAAATAGGTTTTTCACCAAACTAGCCATTTATGGCAAGAAAATAGCCACTCTTTTAAGGGTTTTAAAGAAACCATGAATTCCGCAATTGGCAAATTCTGCCAACCTGACATGTGGTGCTCATTTCTGATTTTGCCAACCAACCATGTGTTGACACATGGATTTCGCCCCCCAAATTTCCCCAACATTGGCTAAATTTTGAATTTTTGGGATACGTGACCTATTTGACTTTTCGGCTGAATTGGCCCACCAACTAACAAAAAGTGGATTCCACCAATTGGCGGATTCACTTTGGCAAAATTCATGGCTATTTCTTTAAAACCCTTAAAAAGTGGCTATTTTCTTGCTATAAACGGCTAGTTTGCTGAAAAGCCCATCTCAAAATCAAGCAATGTGGCAATAAAGCATGATGTGGCTCAAGGGGCAACAGGCTTGATAGATGTCAGCACAGAATACAGATGTTGTAGTTCATCGACTACCTTCACTTTTTCTTCCATTTACGCTACTGCAGAATTACTTAATCTAGCCACAATGAAAACCCATCAGGTGGAGAGCCAAGAGAAAAACAACCAGATGAAATCGGTATCCAGAAAAGAATTGGACCAAATGAATCAGCAGGCAGAACAGGCTGCAGAACTGAATTACAAAACCTGCCATGAATTTTCTAGATTTGCGTACCATGACTAAACTTTCAGTAGATTGCAACACGACCGTTAAAACTAAATAACAGAATGCAACATAATCCTGGACAGTCTGAATATGAAAACATACCCTTAACGTTTAGTAATTGTGAAACAAACACTGCATGTTCTGAAATTTGCAGAATCACTCCTGAGTTTTCATAATGATCCTTGAACGTCCTGAAATTTTCAAAATGGCTCTAAACTTTATGAAATTTTCAGAATGACCATTGAACTTTCTGAAAGTTGGCAACCAGCTCCAAACTTGCTGATAGTTCAGATATAGCGACAGAACATTTCAAGAGCAAAAGAAAAGCCACTGTACTTTCAGACACAGACCAAGACAATGTCAAATGGAGATCAATGCAACTCCAAAAGCCCCTTGAGGAAAAATGGTGTTACCACCGCCAGGAAAGATGGCATTACCACTACAAGGAAAGATGATGATGAGAATTTTGTTCCAAAGTTCGTTTAAGAGTTTAGGCTTGATCAGAACTATTTTGTGTGACTTCAAGACTGATCACTCTTAACAATGGCTCAAGCCTCAAAGAATAGTTGACTGACTTAAGGGTGACATGGGAGGTGTTTGGATGTGCGTTTCAAAAGTCATTATGTGATTAAATAATCAGAAACAGATAATCCACTATAACAAAAAGGTGGTGTAGGAGATTATGTTTGAATGTCCTTTTGCATCTTGAAGTTGTGAATTTGTAATAGTCACTTTTGATCGTCATGAGTGTTTGGAAAATTCTGCATATTCAAGAAAGTAATAGATAAGATAAACATATATAAGTAATTTTACTCTACCCTTTTGTATATAGTTTTGCAGCTATTAGCAAACTGATTATCTGACCCAAAAACAATCAAATAATAATTAGCAAAAGTAGCTTTCCCCGACACTAGAAACTGATTATTGCGACTTTCAGATCATCACTTTCAAACTATACATCAAACACCCCCTTAATACATGAAAAAGAGAGCCTAACAAAAAGTTAGCGTACACTATTGTCATCACAAGGAAGATAGAGAGTTGTACGGAATCGATCAAAAGTCCAAGAAAGGAAATGATCATACATTGCCCTGTTTGGTTTTTAACAAGCCCTCAACCAACAAAGTGATGATTTGCTAGTTGATGGAGCAATTTCGGAATTTTGCCCACAAGATATTTACATGCTTTCTATGTGGTTCTCCTCAACACTTACTCCTTGAACATCTTTATGGTTAAAACTTGAACTTAATATCACTATATGTTTTAATTTGCATGATGGTCGACTTTGGTGCTTATCCTTAATTATGTGCACCTACACTTGATGCTTTATTAATCTGTGGATGCTATGAATCCCATTGACATTATATTCATTTTCCCTAAATCTTTCTACAATGCTTAAGTATTCGAAATTTATGTCCTAATCATGATTATTTCTATATTTACTCTTCAATCATTTCACGGTTATCTTTGATCACTTATACTTCAATTAGTATTGTATAAATCAAGTGATTCAATCTCTTGTATTTTTCTCATCAACTAGTGTTATTGATCATAGGATCAATATTTATAGTGTTCACTGGAGCACTTCTTGAGTGATTGCACTCATCCTCGTTGTAAATGTTTTATACTCTACCACAAAAAGTATTTTTTAGTGAATTGGACTCTCGAAATTGGTCAGGTAGTAGACTAAGGACAAAGGCTTCGAACCACTCTAAAATGTCATATTTATTTCTCTCTCTATGTTTTACGTTATGCAAATTATTGTATATTATTCATTGAGAACGACCAGTTCACCTTCCCTCAAGGCTGTTTAACACTGATGCAATACAATTTGGGAGAAAATCGAAAGAACGAGGTTTCAAAGGCTTCACTCCAAAAAATGCAAGGATCACTTAATTTCCACCCAAGATAGACCTAAAGCATCTCAGCTAAGTTGATTGTTTCACATAATGAAAAGAAAGATCTTAATCTTTTATTCATCAATCTCGGGAATTACATCCAATACATAATAGACTAAACTTATCTTAACACAAGAACTATTAACATCCAAAATATAATAGCAAGGAAAGAAAAGATAACAATTATCCTAATAATTATAGGATAAATACCAACAATTACCCTAATATACATTCTAACACAAGTTCCTTTTAACCTAATAATGCATTCCTCGTCATTTATAATAAAAGATAAGGTGATAAACAATCAACATTTTAGGACCCTTTGTGTTGTATCAGTTGTTTACCCAAGTCCTATCTTTCAAAAAGGGCCTTTGGCCTAGCGATACTCGAGTTACCAGTAAAGCCCAGCCTCCCAGGAGGTCTAGGGTTCAAACCTCACTAAAGATGAAGAGGGTATTCATTTGTTGTATATAAATATTATATACTTTAAAAAAAAGTCATATCATTCAATATTTTGTCCTTCATCAAGATTAGTCCCTAATATTACTTTGAAAAGGCAACAACTTATAAATATAATCAATATCATAACGAAAATTGAAAAAAAGAAGTACTTATCAAGAATTCCAGTCTTTAGTTGTTATGCCTTTCACATACAATTGAACATAGCATGCTTTTATGACCTAGAGAAAAGATATAGCATCCAAGCCCCAAGCTGACACATCAATGCTTGAGCAAAACTTATCCTATGTTATTTTGGGCCAATGTTTCTATTCTAAATCCAAGTAACAAATGCATTCTTAAATTAACAAATATTTCTAAATTTAACGTGTTTATGGTCTCGCTGATTTCAAGTGTGTCCTTCGTCCTTCTCTTTGGTGTGGCGTGTGGGTCCTAAAATCTTACTATCCTGCCTATATATTCACCAGGAACATGAAATAACATAACTTTAGGGCATCTCTTATGCTAAAAAGGAGAGTGGACTGACCTTGTGTAATTTGCTGATAGGATAGGACTGATCAGCCTTGAAAAATTCTGTAGCAGCATCAATTCCAGCTATCTGTCCTTGCCAAGTAATGTCCTAGAATTCATTTCAGATATTATTAAGCACTAGGGTTTTGTACTTTTTGGTATCAAATTGTTATTTACTTGCAGAAATTTTCCATCTAAAATAGACAACATCATTGTCACGCACTCACGCATGTAAGTGTAACCTATATGAATCATATCCTCATAGGAAGATGAAATTTTGAATGGCAGCAAGAAACTCAGATACAGAAGACATAAAGGGAAAGGGAAGACAAGAGGGAATACTAGAGATATTAAGACAATGGGAAATTTAGTGTTATATCACATGAATTCAGGCTTACTTGAGGGGTAGCTTCAGGCATGAACATGCACAAACCAAAGTCATGACCCAATACAGCTATCCCACCAGGCTGTTGGCATCCAGTAATATACAGATAGTCAGCATCTTGGCGAAAATTGTAAGGTACAACGTCAGTCATCATCTTTACAGGAGCAGCTGCAACAATAGCCACACTCTGTTCTGGAAGAAGTTCCAATAGTCTCTTCCTCCTTGATATATATTCATCACAAGTGATTCCTGGTGTAATCTCACCTTCTTTTAGTAACTACCAATACCAACACACAAAAAGGAATTTAATGTTGGCAATTACTGACAGCGAACAAAAATCAAATATAAGAGTAGTAGATGTGACAGTGAATAAGAAAAAGCCTTAGTAAAAGAAAAGAGAGGACAAATTATTAAGTCAAGATACCTGAGGATGAGTACTTGGTGTTGGCTGCCCAGCATCATAGCACTTGTCTGTGGAATAAAACTGTCGAAGTAGGACCTACAAATAGAAGTCATACGATATAGACTTCAAAACTATCAATATAAAAAGAACTTAAGAGTTTCAAAATGAGCAGTTTCAGTTTATCTATGATGACGCAAACCTGTGCAGTCTTAGAACTCCTTGAAGCAGATTTTCACAGCTAGTGTAGCATATCTATGAACAAATATTTTGACTATAACCAAGATCACATGGTGCTAAAAACGGCAAAAACCATTATATAATTTGAACAATAACTTCTTATCAGTTGTTCCTTCAAAATTTAACCAGGTCTTGTTTCTCCATAATGCACACTTGTTCTATTGATTTCAAAGAGAAATTTTGTAACTACTTTTAACTTTATAGAAGTAACTATAATTTAAAAACTTTTGGTGTCAAATGTATAACAAATTCCACATCAAATACAAGTTTTGAGTTTACTGCATACTACATCCTCGTAAGCCAAAACCCTTTGTTCTTCTTTTCTCAAAAAGCAGTAGTCCTAACCAAAAATTGCAACAATTTTCATTTTGGGCCATGGCACTCATCATTTTCTTCACAAATTTTCAAGCTAAAAGAGCAATGGTTTCCACCGTCATGTTAATAAATGATTGATGTTATTGCCTTTGGTATTTAAATGTACTTCACACATTGATGAACAATCAAAACGTATGTGTAGAATCCTACTTCGAGATTTGCATGGGACGTAAAAAGTACCACAAATGCTCTACTTAAGTCAAAGGCACATCTTTTATTGCAAAAGAGGGAGTAGAGAATGTTCCGCAGGTAATAAAAGTTGGCAATGCAGTTCTAACAGCTACAACATCAAAACCCAATAACAGATCATCTACAAATAAATAGAAAAACAATTGACAGAACAGCAAAGCTAAAGCAAAGATGAAATATATCAACAATCGTGAATGATTAGGAACAAACAAGTTAAAAGGATTAGAGAAGGTACGAACTTGATGGACTGTTTTGAATGAAGACCTATTACTGGTCAGTTTTCTGTGAAGATATTGCATTCTGCAACTTCCTGCCCTTCACGTATGTTCTTCCCTATAAACAAAAGTAATTAAATAATGCACAAACGAATTCGGTCGATATCGAAAGAATAACTCCTCCTCGTCGGCACCTGAGAATTATCAGATTTCAAGTTAGGGTTTTAGGCCTAAAGGTAGAAGGGGGGAAAACCTCTGTCCATGTTTCTTCGGGTTAGTTTTTACCATACCCCCTCGAGGTTTACTTTACCTCCATTATCCCCCAAACGGTTGTGTACTTGTTATAACAAACCAAACATTTGATGTGCAGATTGGACTGAAGAGAACAAATGTCTATTTAGTGTTTGGTATGATTATGATACATGATAGAATTAGATAAGTTATCCAAAAAGTTATTTAATGATTTTATATATCATATAATAATTGCAATTAACACAAATAAATTAAATAATTTAATTTATAAACATTTTACACAATTTTCATATACATAAATACATATATATATATATATATAATAGCACCAAATTTGGATGGAAATTTTGATATATTTGATGATAGGTTGAAAAAGCCCTGATTCGTACAAATGAAAATTATGTTTTATTTGGTTTGAAAGATCCTTATTAATTGGCGAATGCAATGTAAAGATTGTTGAACCAACAATGGTTGTGAAGGCAGAGGGCCAGAGGCATTTGTGATTGGTGGACGATGGTGGCTATGGAGGATGTGAAGATGGCAAATAGTGGTAATGGTAGCGGTCCAAAGTGGTGGAGGTAGTGGTGTGGTAGTAGGCAGTGGTGGTAGTAGCCGATGGTGGTGCTAGTAAAGGTGGAGGTGACAATAGCCGACGGTGCTAGTGATGGTGGCAATGGCAATGATGGTTGGTAGCCGACGGTGGTAATGGTGGTGGAAGAGGTTGTTGTAGTAGAAAAAGAGGTGGAAGTGGCGATGGACGGTGGTGGTCGGTGGCCGATGATGGTTGTAGAGGCGGCAATGGTCGACGATGGTTGTGGAAGTGGTGGAGGACGCTATTGTAGTGGAAGAGGAGGTGGAGGTGGCCGTAGGTGGCTATCTGTGGCCGACACTACCGGTGGTGGCGGCGCCGCAACTAGCGATGGTGACCACCAAAACAAAGACTAGATCAAGATTATATATCAAACGAGGGTTGATCAGTAATATTTTAGTTATTACCTCATTCTTGTTCCATCTTGTTCCACCTATTTTGGTGGAAAAGAAAAAGTTTTTTTTGTCCCATGTTATCCAAGTTCTTATCCATGTCCCATGGCGTGCCAAACGTGGGACCGTGAGTTCTTGCCATGTCCAATGTTGCGCCAAACGTGGGACATTGAATTTGTCTCATCCTGTCCTGTCTCATATACCAAACGCAGCATAAGGGAATGTTATGGTACGTGAACATGACTGGGTATGATAGACCTAGATAGAACTAGAACTAGAGAGTAGGACCATAGTTTAAAAAAACGCTTGAGACGTATGCCTCGAGGTAATTCGGCATTTTGAACATGAGGCGTCGCCTCTACCATGCCAGACTTAGACCATCCACATCCCTGCAATCCATTTACACTTTCAATTGTGCCACATCAGCTTTTGCAATTATCTTCCACACACCTGCAATTCACCTACAACATTTTCAACTGTGTCACGTCAGCTTTTGCAATTACCACCTACACACCTGCAATTCACCTACATTTTCAAAAGTGGTCCCCACTACAACATTTATTAACTATTTTTAAATTATTTATATATACATTCTAATTATTTTTTAATTAATAACATGTTTTATTTTAATTCAATGTTAATTAAAACGATTAATATATGATATAAT